CCGCCCGGCTCCGGGACCCGGGCCCCCAGCCGGTGCAATACGCTCCACCGGCACCACAGTCGGCACCGACCATAGACCCGGCACCGATGCAGGAGTCGTCCTCGTCTCCTGATGAGGCCCTGGCAGACCTGGCACCTAGTCTGCCTACTGTGGATGCCCATACGCACCAAGAGTTGCTTCGTCACCTGGCATCCAATCTGGGCATCCCGGTGGAACCTGTCGTAGAGGATACTGATCCAATGCTCCACCGGCACCACAGTCGGCACCGACCATAGACCCGGCACCGATGCAGGAGTCGTCCTCGTCTCCTGATGAGGCCCTGGCAGACCTGGCACCTAGTCTGCCTACTGTGGATGCCCATACGCACCAAGAGTTGCTTCGTCACCTGGCATCCAATCTGGGCATCCCGGTGGAACCTGTCGTAGAGGATACTGATCCAATGGTGGACATCCTTGCCGATGATGCACCCGCATGTTTGGCTCTGCCACTGAACAAAACGGTGGCCAAGATTACTAATGCCCTGTGGCAGATGCCGGCGACCTTGACCCCTACCTTGAAAGGGGTCGAGAGGCGCTATTGTGTTCTACAGATGGGGCATGAACATCTGTTTTCGCAGCCCATCCCGGGATCCTTGATTGTGCCGGCTGTAGCTCAAAAGGAAAGGCTGCCCCAGCCAGGACCCTCTCCAAAGGCGAGAGCACCTAAACACCTGGATTTGATGGGTCGTAAGGTTTACGCCACAGGTGCGGTGCAACTTCGCATCGCAAACCAACACGCAATGTTGAGCCAGTATGCCTTCAATACTTGGCAGGCTGTGGAGAAATTCAAGGATAGGCTTCCGGCTGAGGACCGTCAGAAGTTCGCGGCCATCGCTTCGGAGGGGAAGCTTATTGCCCGGATGGCTCTCCAGGCATCCCTGGACACAGTTGACTTGGCAGCCTGTGCTATGACATCTGGGGTTGTCATGCGCTGTGGTGCCTGGCTGCAAGTCTCCGGGATTCCCCCCAACGTCCAGAATACTATCCAGGACTTACCCTTTGATGGCAAAACTTTGTTCTCGGAGCACACCGATTCTAGGCTCCATATGCTAAAGGAGACAAGGTCTACCCTTAAATCCTTGGGCATTCACACGCCTGCCCCTCAGCGTCGCTAGCTGCCCTATAGGCAACAGGGGAGGGCGCAGCCCCAGGTCCCCCGTGGGGATTACTGGAGGCACCACTCCCGGGCCTCCGATGGAGGTTCCGGGGCGGCTGCGCACCCCCTCAGGGCAGACCGCCAGCGGGGAGGACCCCACGGCCCTTCCCATCAGGCCAAGCCCCAATTTTGACGCGCTGATAGTTGCGTACCAGTCTCCTACCCTGGCCCCCTGTTTGGGGCCAGGCTATCCCATTTTGCCCATGCTTGGGCATTAATCACAACAGACGCTTGGGTATAGTAAATGGAGGCTATACCATCCCTTTCTTGGGCCGGCCATGGGCTGGCCCCCTTCCAACCCCCCTCCCTGGCCCTTTTCAGGGACACCCCTCTCAAACACATCCTGCGTCAGGAGGTGTCCGTGCTCCTCACAAAGGGAGCAGTAGAGGAGGTCCCCCCACACCTGCGGGGACGGGGATTCTATTCCCGATATTTTGTTGTCCCCAAACCAAAAGGAGGAGTCCGTCCCATCTTGGACCTCAGAGATCTGAACAAGGCGGTCATAAAACACAAGTTCAGAATGGTAACCTTAGCCTCAGTCATTCCAGTGCCTCAGTTAGGAGACTGGTACGCAACTCTCGATTTCAAGGACGTGTACTTCCACGTGGTGATCAGAACCAGCCACAGGAGGTTCCTCAGGTTTACTGTTGGCCAGCACCATTTTCAGTTTATGGTGCTCCCTTTTGGCCTGTCAACGGCACCCAGAGTGTTCACCAAGTGCATGGCAGTGGTTGCAGCGTCTCTCCGCAAACAAGGGGTGCACGTGTTCCCGCACCTCGACGATTGGCTAATCCGAGGTCGCTCTTACGAGCAGGTAAAGGCTCACGTATCGGTTTATAGTTGGCTGGGAAATAAAAAATGTTGTAATCCAGTGACTGGGTCTTGCAAATTTGAATAGACAGTGATTTAGTTTCTGTTAGCTTTCAATATCTTCTCTGTATAGAAACTCACTTTCAGATGGTAGAAAATGGAAGATTCTCCCTGTTTTTAAAAATCAAAGCATCTTTGAAGCAGAACATTTTGTTTATTAAGGTGATGGTGGCAACCTGCATTCTCTTAATTATATACATTTAGTTTTAATTCCATTAAATTACAGTAATACAACCACTTTAAATTACAATTTTTTATCTAAAAGATTTTGCTTCCAAAAGCAAGTTTATCAAAGATAAGTTTGAAATATAGTTTTAGCTATTATCTTTGAGGCCTTTCTACACTTGTTTTGAATAAAGGAACAAATCTTGGGGCCTCATACATACACATAACATTTCCCTTGAAGTCACTCATAGCTAAGTGTTTCTGAAAGAACGTGCCCAAAATATTTAAATTAATCCATAAAAACAGTTGTGAATACAAGATGTGTAATACATAAATAGCTGTGGTGTGGCATTATTGCAAGATAGGTTGACAACATACCCCAATAATTAAGTGCGGTGATAAGTGATTGAGCTGCCTGCCATGCAGCCACATAGTAGTACCTGGCAAGGAAATCACAGCAATTCACTGTGAGACAAAAAAATAAGTGTTCCTCCTGTCCCTCTGAAATAATCTTAAGGCCTGTTCCTACTGAGGTGCATAAATACTTGTAACTTAACTTACTTGAATTTCTCCATTGACTTCATTAGTACTAATCATGTAAGTTAAGTTGCTCACACGCATAAGTTATTGTGGGCTCAGGCCCTTGCAAAGTATTATCACAAGGACTGAAAAAAGTAAATGCTTATCTGTTATCAGTCAGGCTTGCACGTCAGTTTTCCTCGTAGTTTAGTGCAGTATTCTATGTAGACGTTGAGAGAAAATCCCAAATGTACACGTTTTATGGAAACCATGTAACTTCAAAATATTTGAATGTAGATTATCAAATATTTTCAATGTTACCATTTGTGTGCTGTGTACTGCAAATATATTATTAAAAGCTGCAGGTTAACATTTGTACCTCTTGTTTTCTATCTAGATTGTGTGCCCTTAATCTATATTTTATTTGCTATAACTAGGCTTGGCAAACTAAATTGCGTTTTGAAACATATCACTATTGCAACGTAAATGTGGTGGAAATGACACCTCTTTTCTGCCCACCAAAAAATCCTAGGTTAGTTTGTCTGGATTTTATTCTCTTTTGAAGTATTTGATTAGTATTTCTTAAATGGAAAACATAAGTTTTGTTTTCTTGAGGTGACAGGCATGATAAATCTGCTAAAATAAATTTTTAACAGGGTGAATGGATAAGTTTTGCACACCTAGCTTTATTCTTGCAGATCTTCTCAGACATTAGGTTCTAATATAACTGTCCTATGGTGTGAAACCATCTTTTCAGTTGTCCTGTAATATATTACATTAGTTGTATTGTTGCACATATCAAGAAAAAAATTAGAGGATTAAACAGATTATCTATATCTATCCATCAATTGACAAATTAAAATCATGATGAATATTTCCAACTTCTTTATAGAAATAGTGTGTAAAATAACTTTAGATTCTTGTCACTTTTTATGGCATAAGTATATAATAAAATGCAAAATAGTTATCTTTCACTGTTTTTGGAAGGCTTTAGTCTTTTTTAGTTATCAAAATCTGCATTATGATTTTGCTCAGCATCATCTAGTAAAAACAAAATACTTATAAACACCAAACATCTAAACTGGTGTCCTTGCCATGTTCCTGTAAAATATCGTGTGCATCTATTCAATTTTGGTTATTTTTTTTTTACTCCTTAGAAAATGATCTTTTTTGTTTTCGTTTCAGATCTTTCAAAGAACAGATTTACTGAAATTCCTCCTGATGTCTGGCTGTTTGCGCCATTAGAGACTTTAAATTTGTATCACAACTGCATCAAATCCATTCCTGAAGCCATAAAAAATCTGCAGATGTTAACGTATCTTAATATTAGGTGAGTAACCCTTTGTCCTTCTGATGGGATTATGTACAGACCCAGTGGGATTTTGTGAGAGGAAGGAAAAAACCCTCAGCTTTACAGGAAGACTGTTAGCATACGTATATATCGAATGGGGCATTATGGAAAACTGTAACCTTATGTACAGTTGAGACTTGGTTTCTGGCATGCTTACATTTTGATCCCTGCCCACCTAAAATCTTCAGGAATGATATCTTCCGCTATAAATTTTGCATATGATATTTTTAACCATCGGTTGTTTGTTCTTGTCAAGTTTGAGATTAACTTGATCGAGAGGAACGGAGGATTCTGGAAAAATAATGTTTAACCATGTCTGAAAACTCCAGTGCTGCTTCCCTCCTACCCTGCATGCCATGTCTGTTTTGTTTTGTTTTTTTTACCTATAACTTCAAGTGAAGTTTGTTCAAAAGCTTATGAAAATGTAGTATAGAGGATCAAATTTTCGACCAGAAGGAATATTCAGGAAGTTATGCACTGGCAAATTTGCAGTGTAAGAAAGGTCTGCTTTGTGGAGATTTTAAAGAGTTCTACTGACATCTGAGACCTACACTGTTTTTAAAACAAATCTCTAACCCTTTTCCTATGCAAAGAGCAGCAAAGCACAATTTTATTATGCGTCTGGGGATAAAAGATACGGAAGAAACCTCCTCACAAATAGAACAAATGCTCTTTTAAGTAGGGCTTATTTCTATACTGAAACAGGTTCTCTCAGGGTACTTGAGTGGGCCCGTTCCATGATGTGGTTTAGCTCCCTGGGTGAGTCTCTTGGCTTGGTGAAGATGAAGAACACTCAGACACTGTCTGTGGCTACCAGAACTGTCTGTGGTTAGTGTATAGTCATGTAAACGGTGAACCGATAGGCCTGGGTTACCGGTAAACTGACTACACGCCCCTCATGCTGCCTCTGTATAAAAGGCAGCAAGGATGCGAGGTGAGAGCACCTGATCCTCTGATAGAGAGGCAGCAGTGAGGAGGGTGAGGGGGGCAGGTGGAAGTTGGTACATGCAGGAAACTGGCTTTCAAGACTGCTCCCCATGCCTGTTGGTTTACACAGAGCCTCCTGCACTGCTGCCTCTCTATCAGCAGGCGGGAGCTGATATGCGTGACTTGCCATGGACAGAGGCTGCTCTTTGGGATGGATCAGAGGCGGCAGCAGGGGGAAGCCAGTCTGTGCAGGGAGATGGCTTTTAAATAGGATCCGAATATAATAATGTCGTCTTCCAATAATTGAGATGAGAATCTAAAGAACAAGATGCATTTATAAAAACATTTCACAAGTGAAATTAGGTTGGCTTAACTACATCACTCTCAGGATGTGCTTTTTTTTTCCAAATTTTAAACCGGCTCCTCTCATGGACCAGTTCCTTGGGAGTGGGGCTGGGAGTCACTGTCTGCCGCTCCACCCCTGGGGACAATTGAATAATAGTGCAACTGATAAGATTTGGTGCATTTACCCGGTTATTCAATTAAGGGATATCTAACATCCCTAACCAGAACAGGCCCCTCAGTTCCCCCTCTGTGTTGCTAATCAAAATCATTATACCTTGAGTGTTTCACAGTGTGCTTAATCATTTTCTTGAGCTAGGCTCGCTGGAGTGAGTAACTAGACCATACTGTTAGAATGAAAGCAAGCAGAGAGAGATCTGGTCTACACTAAAAAATTAGATCAATCCTGCTGTGGTGTTCAGAGGTGAGAAAAAAAAATCACACTCAACATGACATAGTTAAGCCAGCCTAAGTTCACTAATAGACAGTCTTCCATCAATCTTGGTACTACCTCTTGGGGTGAGGGATTATGAATGCTGACAGGAGAACCTCTGTCATCAATGTAGGTATTGTCTATGCTGAAGCACTACTGCAGCTGTTCTGCTGTAGCATTTCAAGTGTAGCCAAGCCGAAAGATTCAATTTATAAGTAAATGAGTTTGCCCATTCTCTTATCTTCAGTTCATTTCATTTGATGTTACTTGCACGTGCTGGTCTGGCAAGGCATCAAAATGTTTTATAATTGCCTCTTGTTCCCTAGATTTACATCATAATTATTGGAAGAATACATTTTTACACTAGAACTTTATTTTATTTAAATTGAATGGGGATATGGAATTTATTTGGCTAAGGCAGACTTTTTCATGCAAGTGATTTACAATGTGTAACATAGCTAAAATTTGAATGAGAGGTATTGCTGTGTTCTTAATACCTGATAGAACAGAAAGAATGTTTTATATCTTGCATCTCAGAAGACTTATTTCAGCTTAATCTTTTTTCCTCCTTTTAGTCGCAATCTTTTAGCAACATTGCCAAAATATCTGTTTGACTTGCCACTTAAAGTTTTGGTGGTCAGTAATAATAAGCTGGTATCCATTCCAGAAGAAATTGGAAAGTTAAGAGACCTGATGGAGTTGGTGAGTAAAATTGTGTACAGTAGTATGAAGTGTATTTATAGTAATTTGTTAATGTGATTTAATATTACTATTAATTTATTACGGTAGTGCAAAGAGCTGAGCAAGGGTAGGGCCCCCGTGTGCTAGGCACTGTACAAAGAGTAGAAGACAGTCCCTGCTGTAAAGCGCTTACAGCATATAGACACCGCACTGGTGTCAAACAAAAGCAGAGTGATCAATGTGATGACAGCAAATCTCATGTTGCCTGTATTTTTTTTTATGGGGGTTACGCAGGAGGAGATAAGATCATAAGAAATGGGAAGTGCTGGGGATGGGACAGGAGAAGAGTATAAGAGGGACAAGTGTGGAGTAAACTGAGGTGAAGAGACTCTAAGGGGCAAATGGTATGAAGAGGATTGGAACTAACCGCTGATCAGCACAGGGCGAAGAAAGACAAGTCAAAGCTGTGACAGTTCTCTAACAGTATGCTTCCACAGTGCTTTGAAGTCCAATGGAGCAAGTTTCCAAGTCCATGTTGACAGACTTCAGGTAGCAGTGCTCACGCTAGCATTTTCAAAACAGCTGTGTAGACAGCTCTTTAAAGTTGTTGCTTGGGTTGGAGCTTGAGGTTGAAGTATCGGGTTGGTATAGGGCAAATTTGCTTACTTGGGCTGGGAGGCTTGCTCCTGTGGGCTCCAAAACTCTGTGTAGACTTACCTGAAATGCTCCCTACTTTGGCTCTTTATGCTCCCACTGACAGGAGTCTAACTGGTTCCCTACTGCACTTTATCCCAGAGGCCTCGTGGTGGGAACTACAGGTGGGTCCTCTTGGAACCCTAATCCTTTCAAGTTATAGGAAGTATCTCTTGCACAGTTAGGGATCTGGGAGGTGCACTATATTGATGCATAATGTCAACTTAGTTATTGTATGGTCAGTTTGTGACCTCATGTTCTATAAGTACAGTATATGGCAGAACTCAAAAGTACATTTACAAAGTTAACAATTTAGAATAACTAAATATCGAAATAGGTGAGTAATCAGACTTTCTCTTAATACATTGACATGAAAGATAATTCTGTGAAACCTCTAATTAATAAGGTTTCTTGGTTTGATATTTAGTAAACAAGTACATTACGAAAGAATGTCGCCTCACTTACTCTAAAATGGAATTGAGTCTTTTAACTTAATTTTTGTGGTAGGTCACCTGCAACAGAGATGCTTGGTTCTGTGCTAAATCTAGGACATTGCACTCACACCTGTAATGAAATGTGTATTCAAGCTCTCATTTTTTTCCATTTGAAAAGCCAAAAATAACGATTTAACTTGGTTTCCTTTGTGAAATATATGAGCAAAATGAATGCCTATTCATCATATTCCTTTCTATTGAGGGTCTTTACCTTCTGTGGAAGTTAAAAAAAAAATTATATTGGCAGGGATACTAAATGTCAATCATCTCTAACCTTAAGTATTTGAAAATAGCTTGTCCAGGTATCCTTCAATATTTTAAAAATGTTTACTCTGTTTAAAGCCCCTTAATCTAAAATTTTCCAGTTTACAGTGGTTTAATAAAGTTCATTTTCTAAAGCCAAGTGAGAATTGATTGTGTGTGAGGAGGTAATCTGGGGTTAAGAAAAGATTAGCTTCTGTAATTTGTCTATGATTGCTGCACCCAGAATGGAGTTTGAGTGTACTAATGGAGGTATAATAACTTGAGAGAGCAATGAGAACTTGAGCTAAGTCTGGTGACTTGTCAGTGTTGAGGTGTGCTATCATCTCACTGTGCACTGTGAACAGCCTGCCTCCCGTTTCTTGTGGATGTGTATGGTTTATAGATAATGCAGTCTTTTGGCCTATGTTCATTTTTAAAGATGAATTATAGTTCTTGAAATTAGACAGTATTATACATTGTATAATATAGTTCTAATACAGCCCAAAAGCCCGTGTTTACCTGATGCCTGGTTCATTTGGAGTGTTGGATGTAGAAAGTGAATGTATTTAGGGTTACAGCTTGGTTGCTTTTGCTCCTTTCTCACTAGTGTGAAACAGTGAATGCATGTCTGATGTTGTAGATGGAAACTCAATTAGTGTTTTTTCTTAAGTGGAAAATGACCCCGGTACAAAGAAAAGAACCAAGAATTTTTTGATAAGTCCTACTTGTTTAGGTTTTAACTACTGAAATTTAGAATATCATAGCTAGGAATTGAGCTGATTCCTCTCTAAATTTAAAAGTAATAATGGATCGGTGCTGCTGCTTTTATGCAGATATAAATTATTGATAGCAAATTAGTTTCATTGGACAGAGTTCTTAGAACAGTAGCAATTGAGAGTTGGTGCCTGTAGTAATATAACTGTGTACACTTTATGTTTTAGTGACTTCTGCAACATTTAAAGTGTTCTTTCTTACACTGTATATATGTAGAATTTGAAAATTCTGGCTTTTTAAAATTACAGAATCGTGGGATCACTCACTGACAGAAATCTAGATCTGCATTATTCTGTATATGCATGTAAAATTTTGCCAGAATGAGATGTAAAATGTGATCTACAATATTAAATATAGCTACCATATGTGGATTTTTGCTCTGCTGCCTTATTGTAGTGGTTTTCAAACACACTGCGAGTGTACGCAACATGCAAGTGTATTTCATCCTTTCATGTTCATTTTCACTATTTAATATCTGCATTATGGATAACATCTCTAGCATGCTGTCTTTATTCTGGAGCCTCAAAGCAACAGGTTCCAACCAAGAACACTGAGATGAGGAGTATTTTTAAAAAACGAACCATACCCAGTCTCTTTTTGTCCCTTAAAAAAACCCTTTCACTTTGTGTACCTCACCACTTTGCATATAAGTATTTAATGCAGCAGATAAGCATTTGTCACCACAAATAAAATCAAAGTGTAAACTTTTAATTTTTGTATCATCCTTCCTTACATATCCCATGGACTGGGAGTAGAAGACTGCTAAACAATTACTGAAAACAGGTTAATAGCCCCAGTTGAACATTTTAGGCAACCCAAGTAGCCAAATGGACACTGGAGAAAGATATTGGGAAGGAATATTCGGGAGTAAAATCACCTGAACAGAAGAGCTATGGGATTTGCTGGATGTAGATTCAGATTTCCTTGGTAGCTAGGAGTGCTTTTGCGCAGCTTCAGCTGATCCACCACTGCGATTCTTTCTGAATAAGAACAACTTGGATGCAGTGATTCATGCTCTTGTCACATCCCGATTGGATTATTGCAATGCACTCTACGTGGGGCTGCCTTTGAAGAGTCTTTGAAGGCTTCAACTTATCCAGAATGCAGCTCCTCGAGTTTTAACTAATACTTGTTATACGGAGCACATTATGCCGGTGCTCTGGCAGCTGCACTAGCTTCAGGTGTGTTTCTGGGCACAATTCAAAGTCTCGATTATGACTTATGAAGCCCTAAATGGGTTGGGACCAGGGTATTTGAAGGACCGTCTCCTCCTATATGAACCTGCCTGGGGATTGAGGTCGGCTGGGGAGGCTCTGCTCCGTGTTCCTTCATTTATGGAGATAAGGTTGATACCTGCATGGAGCAGGGCCTTCTCAGCCTTTGCCCCTAGGCTATGGAACTCTCTCCCCCGGGATATTCGCCTGGCGCCAATGTTGGCATTGGTTCGGTGCCAGGCCAAGGCCACCCTTTTGACCTGTGCTTTTATTGGTGTTTAGGTATGTGTGTGTGTCCCTCCTCTTGAGGTATTTTAGCAGACCCCTTTGGGGTCTTGTATTTTACTTTATATACATTTATTTTATTGTGCGTTAAAAACTTTTTGTAAGCTACCTCGAATATTTTAAATAGAGAGGCTGGATAAAAATATTTTAAATAAATAAAATACATTTATGTCTAAGGACCTAGACTTTAAAATCAACCTCCAGTTTTTACCTCTAGCATTGGGTAGCTAGTCTTATAAGTATTGTCATTGCATATATGAATCATACCCTTGAAAACTGAAGCTACATGTCGATCTTGTGGAACTAGTGTTTAGCTAGGTTGGAAATAGCTTTTAGGATTTCTCCATATTTTATTAAAGCGTATGCTAAATTATCTAAAACACAGGTTAATAAAGAAGTTTCTATTCACCCAAGACTTTTGCTTTAATTATCCCAAAGTAGCGAGTTCAATTTAAAAAAATTGTGAAATGGGTATAATAAATCTGCAGTAGGAAATTATTGTTAATAAATTTTAACAGTACATTTTAAAATAAGTATCCAAATACTCGGATACCTCCCACGGAAAGCTATAATAGTAGCTTGTGGAACATAAGAGTAATAAGTTCAGATTGTTCCTCTGTAAAAAATTTGAAGTAGGCATTCTGCAAATAAATACAGTCTGCTAGAAAAGAATTGGATGATGGTAGAGTGGCACATCTGGCAGCTTCTGGAGTGGGATTTGCAACAGGGATGTAAAACTAAAACAACAAAAAACACTAACTGTGACTGATTGAGTTTCAGCTGGTTACTCAGTTAAATGCCCCACAGGCTCCTGGCCTCCTCCCAGGATTGTAACTGGTAAGGTTAACTGATAAGACAATGCTTACTGGTTAATGGGTTAAATTCTTACATCCCTAGTTTACAGCTGCACAAGATGTAAGGTAGTGTTGCATTAGAGTAGTCAGACTTTCTGCATTGCTTGTCCCAATCCCAGGGCATATGGGTTGCAACTGAGCTAACCTTGTGGATGAAGTTGCGTCTGGGAGGAAGTGGTAACTGGCATCCCACTTGCACATCGCCTCAAAAGCCTTGCCCTGGTCCAACTTCTGTCTCAGATTTTCCACTTGCTGCTGTTGCTGGCATCTTTCAGTGTCCTCTTGACTATGTCCTTGCAGTCGGAGTAATGACTGTGTGCTTGATGTTCTTGCCCTATGGAACCAGGACTGCTGGTTCCTAATGTTCCTCACACCATATCCAGAGGTAGCCAATAAGCTTCTGCAGCTATCAACATAGCTTGTGGGAATGAGTCCAAAGTGAAGCATAATCTTCCTGTCTCTTTGAAATTCATCTTCCGGGAAGCTGCTCAAGTATGTGGTGACATCTTGGCTGAAAGGGATCCTGACCATTGTCTTCACTGCAGCATTTCACAGGGCACTTACTACAGGGCTCTTCATCGCAGCCTCCTGGCACATCAGAAGTCAGAATGTCTGAGGATCACTGCAGTGTTGCATAGATTACCCATTTAAGGGATGTTGGCACCACCTTGCCTCTGTGAGATGTCCCCCAGTTCATTGCTGGTCCACAGGGATAGGTACAGCCACTCCTTCACCAACAGCCTTATGGCGTTGTCCACCTTGTTGAGAGGTACCTTCCCCATGCTTATGCCAATGCATAAACACACGTTAATTAATTTAGTCTTGCAACACCTGTGTGAAGTAGGTGTAAGCCATGCTTATTCTCTGTGGCCGAACCGCTTAGACCTTTAATGAGACTGTAGCAGCCTGAGATCAGACTGATGTATGTTATCTGTGGCAGTAGAACAGCAGGTTCCCAAACTTTTTGCTAGCACAACTCTATGAAGTATTTCCTGCTGGGACCACAGGCAACCTGGAGGATGCCATTTTATAGATCAAAATAGCATCATCTGCACAGTGTGACCTTGGCACCACCTGCACAGTGTGTCCCTGTATGTGTGGTGCTCATGAGGTCACACTATGCAGAGAATGCCATTTTCAAGGGGAAATGGTGTTCTCCATGCGTTGGGAATTTGCACACACTGTACATGCAAGTTTACATGATGCAGCACAAAATGGCATTTTCCACACACGAGGGGTTGCCATCAACCCCTATAATGGTGTGACCCCATTTGCAATTACAGACCACAGTCTGGAACCACTACAGTCGAGGCTCATAATTTTGGATCCAGTGGTCTCAGGTGATTGTGTAACACAGGGAAGAAGAAGAATTATCCCAACTTTGCAGAAGTACAAAATGTAAGTGACTGTCTGCAATAACGCAAAAGATGTCTTTGGCAGAGATGGGAATCAAACCCAGCTCTCCTGATTGAGGCCAGAGCATGAATGAACCTCAACATGAACTTTCTTGTCCATTGGATTCGACTCCTCGATTGAACTCCCACATTACCAAATGTTGCTACAGATTGGAAAAGGCTCTCCTTTCTCCCCCACTCCCATTTCTTACCAAATTGAAAGAGGAAATTCTTCTTTAAAATATGTTTTGCAATAGCTTTTACTGAATTTTTTTCTCTTGTTTAATTTCAGTCAAGCTATTGTTGAACTCATTAGCTCATTATCTTTTACTTAGGATATCAGCTGCAATGAGATTCAGGTCCTTCCCCAGCAAATAGGAAAACTGCAATCGCTTAGAGAATTAAACATCAGAAGAAATAATCTCCATGTGTTGCCAGATGGTAAGCTGATCACCATCCTTGCATTGAAATAGGTAAATTACGCAAAACATTAGGATTTCTGATTTTGTTTCCTTTCCCCCTTAACAGAACTGGGAGACCTTCCCTTGGTAAAACTGGATTTTTCTTGTAATAAAATTACAGAAATTCCAATTTGTTACAGGAAATTACATCATTTACAAGTAATAGTTTTGGATAACAACCCAATGCAGATACCGCCGGCACAGGTTAGTGTGTAAAAACCTTCCATTTTCTCAGCTTTCCTAGGGTTTTAAGGAAGAGTGAGATGTTAGGTTAATTACCAACCAATTGTATGTTTGAATGTTAGGGTCAGTCTCCTTTCTCCCCAGCACAGCTGTTTTTCTTTCTCTGCGTCTGTTGTTGTTTGTTCTTTCCATCTCCTTTCTGTTTTGATCTTTTCCTAAACCCAGCACACTTGACATTTAGTGAGCAAAGACAACCCCCCCAAAATCTTAAGTCAGTTTGATCTAATCTGAAGCTACAAACACTAGTCATAATTGTATGGTAATTGTATTGATTATTGCATAACATCATTACAGTGTGGATTAAAGTCATTCAAACAACTGTACCTTTGCATTTCCATATCTTTACATTTTTGGATGTCTTTTACATTTAATTCTGATATTCCTGGGCACGTGATGTTTGTTTTAGAGATGCCCTATAACTTTTTTTACTCTTAAATTACAGATACATACACAATCTTAAACTCTAGTTTTATCTGGGAATTATATATGTAGTACTTGAAAAAACAGTGATATACGTTGTGTTGCTATAGTCATGCAAGTCCCAGAATATTAGTGGTTGAGGTAATAGTCTCTTAATAGTAGAAACAAATGAAAATAACTCTTAAATTAGAAAGTATCTGTTGCTGTATGATATTATAAATATACCATGCATAGAAATCAACTTTTTTTCATATGTTTCTTACAGATATGTTTAAAGGGTAAATTTCACATATTTAAATTCCTCAATATTCAAGAATGTCTCAGAATAGATAAAAAACCAGATTCCTTGGATCTTCCATCACTGGGTAAAAGAATCCCATCCCAGCCACTCACAGACAGGCACGTACCTTTCTTCTTTAGAACTATTTAATGCTTGCTATGAAGGGAGTGTTTAGGATAATGGAGAACTGCTCTTACAATACGTTCAAGTAATTTTAATAATTGCATTTACTTTTAAGATACTGCATTTCAAGCTCATTAGTTAACTCATTTAAAGAATTACATTATATCCCTTCTTTTCATCCCCTGCTAAAAAGCAAATAGTAGTTGTCCTTTTTTATATCAAATTTTCAGCAATAGAGTACATCAGAAATTAGAATAAAGATAAATTTTGATGTTTTTTGAAATAGGCATCTTTTCGTGTTCACATTCGTGCAGTATATAGTATAGCACTGAAGTTACATTCCTCTGAGCTTGCTCAAAATAGAATATTGCTAGATGGAAAGCTTGCCTTCCAATACCGATCCAGCTGTATACATTTTTAAGGCTGTGTAAACTGAGACTACATTAATTGTTTTTTTCAGTTTGATTTCTCTTGTTTTTGTGAGTCCAACTGAAGTGAAAAGTGTTATGTATTTTGCTGGACTTTCTCAATTAAGATTGTTTTGAAAAAGTTAATGGAAATGTCTGATATTGACAGTCTTTACCAGTAATGTTTTATAAAACTATATTAGCTACAGAACAAAATTGTACCTTGCTAGTATACTTAAAATTTCATCCATAACCTGGGCCAGTGTTTGCTGACTTTGATGCTGAATAAAACAGAAGCGGTTTGCTGTGGCAAGGAATCTCTGAAACATATAACTTCTGCAATAGAAGAACTAGTTAGTTATCCAAGGAGGCTTAATAAGGCATAATGGAATGAAAATGTACAAAGGTGAGAGAATGTAGGCTGGTTACCTGTCAGAATACCACACCTAAGGGTAAGGGCTTGACTATACTGGGAAATAGCCTGGAATAGCTGTTTAGACCTAGCCCTTCATGTGGGCACACTCACTCTGCACTGAGTGGATTAAGTTCAACTGCAAGAACAATGCAGAATTCAATGCAATTCTTAATGCAGAATGAATGTCCAAGTGTAGGTTAGTGCAGAATATTGCACTTTAAATGTTCATATTGTTTGAATGGACTTTAGGAAACAAACCTGATTTTTTTTTCGAAAGAGAACCGAATTAAATTTCTATCTGATATCCATCTTAAAATAGCCTGTCTGCACACTAAGCATTGCTGTAGTATCTTGTGTCACAGATTGGTTGGCTATTAAAAAACAAAACAATAAACTCTTTGTCGCAGCAACCATAGAGATGCTAGGGAGAAAGGGGGGTATTGTCTTTAAGATGATGTCTTCCTTTCACTTACGATTCGCAAAAGTGATATTTTGTCAATCCTTTCACTTACGATTCGCAAAAGTGATATTTTGTCTTACCATATCTGCTATGCTTTCTCTTTGTTATAGTATGGAAGACTTTTATCCTAATAAAAATCATGGTCCTGACTCTGGCATTGGCAGTGATAATGGGGATAAAAGATTGTCTACAACTGAAGTGAGTGGTTTTTCCCTATTCACTGTGTATTTGTATTTTTCTGTGTTGATAACAAAGGGCTGAAAGGACAATGTTTTCTTCTTTTATAGAAACCATTTAGCGTTCTTGATACACTAAATTGTTTATTTCTCTGGCATTCAAATATGCTTTGTATAACTTGAGAGAGCTTAAATATAATGTATGTTACTGTTAAATTAACTCAGGAAAATGTGTGACAAACGTACTGTAAACAGTGTAGTTATAGCCATGTTGGTGCCAGGGTATTAGAAACACATGTGAGTTAGGCGCGATCTCTTATTGGACCAACTTCTGTTGGTGAAACTTACCGTAAAGCATAGAATACTAAATATTTAAATTATTTTATGTCCCTGTTGTGGAATATGCATACACCTTCCTATTTTAGGATAAGGTGGGATTATGATATCCCTGCAAATACCATCTATCAGATGTGCCTTAGGCCAAAGGCAGCCTAGGTCAGTGGCCAGGGACAAGGTGGCTGACCTCAGCCGAAAGGCCACGCAACCTAATTTCTGAAGTCTATATGGCTGGCCTCAGGTTTGGGGCTGTGCGGCCTAGTGGTTGGAGTCAGGGAAATGGGCTGCCAACTAGAGGTGGGTGGAGGTCTTGAGTCCTCCCTCTCTAATGGGTCGCAGCCCAGGGCCCTGTTGGCAGTGAGGGTAGATCCAGCCACAACACATTGACTTTCGTTGGGTAAGAGGTACCATTCCTTCCACCTTCGTGGGCCACTTCTACCGTAAGCCCTGAAGCTGGGGTCTGCTCATTGTCAGGGTGTCTAAACTCCCTGGTGCAGGTAGCTTGTTGGCACTGACTCCTCTTAGCTTGGCTATAGACATCCAGTCTCCTGTCTAGGTTTCTAGGTCCTGTGGTCAGGGTCTGAAACGGGTCTTGGGCTGGAGCCTCCACCAAGCATCCTTGCTCCCTGGCAGTCAGCCTCAAGTGAGTTGGGCTGCTCCCTTTTATAGTGAGGCAGCTGTTGACACATGCCCAACACGGACTAAGGGACACGGACTAATGCCCATAATGTGAGGTTAACCCAATCTCGCCTAGCCTGGAGTATGCACAAACCATCATGGTCCCTCTGAATAGCTAGCCCTTGCACAGTGTTCTGTCAACCCATCTGAGCTTTCTAAAACAATTGTGGCTTCTTTGGCCATTTTCCGATAAAAATCCAAGATCGGTTTTTATAACCAGGAACAATTAATTTGACAGTTGTTTTTGTCTAATTTCTTGTTTTTAATATAAATTGAAGTACAGTGTATATTTCTTTGCATCAGCTGTTTATTGGAAGCTGTTGACTGACTTTTTAGATATATATTTATGAGCAATATTTGAAAACTATAAGGGACTTTGGCGCTTTTGTCCTATTTTTTCAATAACTTTTGTAGCTGTATAAATCTGTATAAACGACTACAGTTTGAGTAACAGAAATACTGAAATTGAATGCAGTAAAATTAAAAACTGGGACTAAGGGAAGATTTAAATATAGTCTAAAAATATACTTGCAAATTCATCTGGAGTATACTTAGATTGTAGGAAATTGTGAAGTGTGGTAATATTCCAGGATTATGTCAAGAAAGATCAAAATTTATTAGAAGTAAAGTGGCCACACAATCTTAATGGACAAACCCAAAGCTCTTTTAATTAAGTGGGGTTGTACTGGGTGATTGTATAGAGAAATGTTGCTGTGTTTCTGGAACTGTTGATTTGGTAGGTGACACACTTTGCTCAGTTAAGAGACCGGTGGTCCTGGAGTTGTGCTGCAGAGCACTTGTACATGACAAGTGCTGTTTTTCAGATGAAACAAAAAATGTCTAGACCGAACTTTGCATTCATATAAGTTTTTCACCTGTATCTCCCCTCATAGTAGCCTCCTTAATGTCACCCAGATTCTGTATTGTTATTTGTGGCTTTTCAATAGACTGCATAATTATTATACCAGTCAGGTTTTAATTCTGATTATTTGCAGCCATCTGATGATGACACAATCAGCCTTCACTCTCAGGTATCAGAATCGACAAGGGAACAGACAATAAGGAACGACAATCATTTAATAGGAAGTAAATTTGACTCCCCTAAAGGTAATTTTTAAATACACAGGAATGCGCTATTGTTTGGGGTGCAGATAATTTCTATTAAGCCCTGTACAAGATTAAATAATGGTGTATTAGAATTGTACATTTACACTTTAAGCAACATTGTAATAAAATTATAAATAGAACACTAATATGCAACAAGAAAAAAACCCATCTCTTGAAAATCTTTTCCAGGTATAGCAAGAGCTCCCTGCATTAGTTATATTTGACTGTGTTACAAATACCTTTTATTTATTTTTCAAATTTAATCATCCGTAGACCAGGAGGTGTATGATTACATTGACCCTAATGCAGAAGATGCAGCCATTCCTGAGCAAGATGTACAAATGGGACCATTTGTCTATTACCTTAAGGTAAGGTAACTTAAATGGAAAAAATTAGATGGCCGGTCTTGGTTATTAATGTCTAAACTCTTATTTTTTTCCATTCTATATAAGGAACGAGGAAAACACCCTGAGAAATCACAGAAAATAGAAAGGAATGATGAGTGGGGAGAGGAAAAAAGGTAGGCCTTCTAGACATCTCTTTAGAATTCAATATTTCCAAGACATAGCTCTGCAATAGTGGGTACAAGCATCTCTGGTTGGGCAGAAGATCAGTGTGTAAGAAGGGTTTTTTTAAACTGCTGTCAACTAACATGATCATTTGCTTAAAAAAAACAAGGCCCCAAGAATGCATTCATTTCCAGAACCGACTGAAAACAAAAAAATTAGCCGAATTAATCTTTCAGGCTTCAAAAAGAGAAGCTGTTGGCAGAGGAAGATGATGAACTGAAAGAGGTGACTGACTTGAGAAAAATAGCAGCTCAGCTACTGCAGCAAGAACAGAAAAACAGGTAATACAAAATCCAAATAAGTTAAACAAGTTGTGTGCCATATTTAATTTATATTTACACTGAAGGTGTCTAGTTAAAACTCATTGCTATGTTAGAGCTTTGAGGCTAGACTTGTGCAATTAGACATGAAACAGTCAAGCACATTCATGCAGACTTTTTAGGTGTATGTCTTGCATGGTTTTCATACAGCTGCTAGATGACAGAGAAGCAACAGTGTCCAAGTATACCATCTATATTGTGATAGCAATTAATTTTTTCATTGTTCATTGGGAGAAAAGAGGAAAACCATTTGATGTTAACATTTTGTTTCATAATGTTGAGTTAGTCATTGGGTACTAAACACCTGATCACATAGTCAATGGAAATTAGTAATGTCATTATTGTTATTGTGCTAAAATGCTCTATGCTTAGATTATACATGAGTATTCAGCACTATGTGCTGCTTCTGTGTGGTTGGTTATTTTTGTAGAATATGAAGTTTTCCGTGAATGCAGAATACCAGATTTTAGAGCCATGGTGTCCAACCAGTTCTGAAGCAGTAGCCACTTTAGAAAACTAGCCACACTCAACTGGCCAAAAAGCCACATATGGAGCATAAACGCCTCCATTTGGACCACAACACATAACATTTTGTTAAAGTATAAGGAAAGAGGACTCTTGTTCAAGCACGAATCTTTTACATGATAAAACACATAAACAAGTTGAATATCTGTAGTCTGTCCTGGCCATTTACTTAGCTGTTAACGGTTTCCATTGGGCATTGCAGAGGAAGGGGCTCTTGAGAGAGGATTCGGAGTGGGACAGGAGAGTGGCTTTATGGACCGCTTTGTGCAAGGTATTCTACTTATAGGTGTAGCAAGGCAGAAAATGAAATGGTGCCCATGGAAATGGAAAAACAGGTGACAGAGGCTAGCTACCGTATAGTGATAAGGGGGAAGAGAGTAATATGAGAAGATACAAGGGAGGATAAGTGGGGAAGGGCTGAGTTAACAATAAGGATCAGAAGCTGGGATTTGATGTTAGGGAGAATGGAATGTAATCAGCGCAATCCTGAATGGAAGGGCTCTCAGAGGATTACATGGGAGAGTCATGGCATGTTGGCAGATGGGTTTCTGGGGGTAGTATTCAGTGATGGTGAAGAAGTCACGTATTATAAAGAGCATGGCACAACTAAGAGGAGTGAAAGTCTATGTTGTCGGGGAGTCTTTAAGGTCGTGGGATTTCCCACAAATTTGCTCAGCTGTGTAGGAACAAACCCGAACGAAGCAAGAGTGTGTACAGTGATGTAGCAAGATTATACATTGCATAATTGGATGAATACCGTTTAATTAGTGTCTTAAATTTCAGCATAGCTGGGGATGCTACACATCTGTTTTTCATAAAGCATTGTGAAGGATATCAGTGCTGATATTGCAGCTGCGTATTGTCAAGCTTTAGAAACTCACCAGTTTTTTTAATCCCCATTGAGTAATTATTACATCACAACTAATGAATTACTGTTAGCTGAGTTTAATATTAATTGTGTGAAAAGATATGACTGTTTCTAGAGCTTAAATTACTTGTAATTCTAATTTAATGTATTTAGGAATGTGGATGTCCACAGGGAAGGGAAATACAATTAAGGGGGATAAGTAGGAAAGTAACGTTTAGTCCTGGTTAGCTGGCATCAGGCAAAAAAATACTCATAGAAGAAAATATTTTGAAGCCTTTCTGAACGATAAAATATTATCAGTATTTAAAAATTATAGTAAATGTTTAAAAAACATTGTCATATTAGGTTTTTAATGGTGATCATTATATTGGAAAAACTTTTCCTGTGAAGATCGGACTTCTAACCTAGTGCTGTTTAAATTACTTTTGCTGTTACTATTCTGTATTTAATAATTTAGTTCAGAACTCTAAATTCTGCTTTGGTTGGCATTGCAATGGTTATACTTGCATGAACCTGTTGATTTGCTAAGCTTTCCTTCTGTATCTGTGGCACTTGCTTTTAGTATTTCTGTCTATTTTTAAAAATGTGGAGACGAACTCAGCATTGATTTAAACTCTATGCAATCAGCACAATACAGCAAGATGCAAGTCAGCCCTGATTTTTGGCTCATAATTTTTTGTGAATCTATAATTCCTTGTAGTGACAGCAGTAAGAATTGGAATTTGAGATTAACAGTTGAAATATTTCTGGTTTTGAATCTGCAAATTTGTAAATGTTTGTATTAAGCCATTCTGACCTGAACACATGGACTGCTCTAAAATTTGTGCATCCTAATAATTTCTTATTAACTGTAACTCTGATCACTTAGCATGTTTTCTTTTTAATCCTGTGAAATCTATCCTCTCTTTCCTTTCCGCTTGCTATACTAATTACTTCCCTGTCCTCTCCCATCAACTTCTCCTGCTTCCTTCTTCCATCTCTGGGTTTGGTGTACATGAAATGTGAATGCAGACGGAGACCATTAAGCTATAGAACTTCATTCAGTGAAAAACTCTTCCAGAGGACGAGGGCTGCAGGACGTGCATCCAGGTATCTAATGTTTGTGGAGCTTAAAAATCTAAAGATCACATGCTATACAGAATCCTAGAACACTAGAACTGGAAGGGTCCTTGAGAGGTCATCGAGTCCAGTCCCCTGCCCTTACATGATCAATTCTTGGCTTATGCAAAATAGAACAAAATAATTGAGTGAATTAGTGTAGAATATTTAATGGCCAAAAATTGATCAGACTAAATTATTATGAAAATGTAGAAGTGTGTTTCAGAACACTAGGTAGCTTAACATTAGCTATTCAGAGGTAACTTCCAATTATAAGCTTTTTTTCAGTTTCTACCACTAACTTCACCAAACTTAAGCAGCCAAGCTGAAATTTTAAATATTATGTCTTGCCTTAAATTAAATTTTAGGCAAAGTTCAAGATGGAGGGAGTGGTAAACAGTAAAAGCCGTGCTGGGTACAAGAACTTCAGTATTGGAATATGAAAGGCAGAGACATATATGAATTTGGGATACTGCCTTGAAAAGAAAGGAATCCTTCTGGCTATTGATTGTAGAGTCCATATGAATCCAATACACCACTTACTGCACACACCAAAGTCTTGTACACCTGGCATATTCTTCAGAGACTCCTTTCCCTGAACAGTTCTTGAGTATTTTAATTTAAGGGGACTTTGAGGCAAAAAAATCTTTTAACATCCAGTTAAGGTGTCATGACACAATTTTTCATTTGGCTCAGAAAACACTTGAGAATAAAATAGTGTATTGAGGAAACACAACCATTAGAGAACCTACAGAGGCCAAGTGAAAGTTCCATGTTTAAAAACAAAGCTCACCATTAAACTTTGGAAAGTAAGCCGAGGTAAGGTCAGCTTTCTGTCATTCCTTCTAATCTGAAGTTGGGAGATGATGCTGTAATTGTCATGTCTGTCAATGGGAGACTAAAAATCTGAGTGATTTCCATCTGCCATGCAAAAACCAGAGCTTCATGATGGTGGTCAGATGGAGATTGCATACACTAGTTTGTACAGCAATATTCATGTAATTGTCAAGACAATGGGATCTTACTAAACAGAAAAAAATAGTGGTACTCATGCCATCTGTTTTACAAAGAAATTCTGATGTATTCTTCTAGTGATAAATAAGGCCAGATTCCCTTCAGCTACTGATTGTTGTGTGTTACAAAGAGTCAGGCTTCAGTATGAAGAGATGTGATCTGTATAGAAATAGTGGAATGTGCCCTGCTAGCATCATTCTGAGAATAACTTGAGTTAAGAATTTGTGAGTGAGTTGAAACCTTCATTTTGCATTCCCTGCAATTTGTTGGCTTTAAAAAAAAATAAAATGGAACCTTAGTGTTGGAGTTATAAGGCTTCCTACTATTTGGTGATTTGTTTGGTTTTTGAGGAAAGTATAAAGTTCTCGGGGGAGGGGGGATGGAGATACTGAGAAATGTTGTGAATGAATTGATGGCTTTTTCCAGTTCAGAGCATTTTACCTTGAACTAGGGATAAAAGCGACTAATTGACTACCCGATAAGCATATGCTTATCAAGTAGTTGAGTAGTGACTCAACTAGACACTTCCCTTCCACCCTCCTGTTGCCTCTCTCAGGGAGGCAGCAAGCGGGGAGAGCAGAAGCCAGTTCTGGGGCGGAGCCAGCTTAAAAGCTGGTTTCCCCCAGCACCGTCTCCGCCAGGGTGGGGGGGAAGAGGCGTGCATAGCAGGGGGACCGGGCGCGAGTGGCTCTTAATACATTTAAAAGGCAGAACCGCAGCGGGGTTGGCTCTCAGGGGCAGGCACTAACCCTGCTGTGGCTCTGCAGTTTGCCCCCTTTTAGACTAATTGAGTAGTTGATGGAAATTCCATCGACTTCTCGATTAGCTGGTTAAACGCAATTTAACATCTCTATCATGAACTGTTGGGTTTGAAAACTTAGTAAATCTAGATTAAGTAACTTCCATGCAGTTTTATATACAGGTTGTACACCATATTTTCCCAGTGAACCTGCAAAAATCTGTTTGGCTCTATCATTCAGTCTCTCAGAAAATTCAAAAGGCCCTGACTAGTCAAACAACTGACCACAAGACTGATAAATAATTAATTTGATATTATGTACCACTGAATTTAAGAGTTTGTTTCTGAGTAAACTATTCCAAACTATTTTCAGTATTGGGGGTGGGAAGAGATCTGAATTTATTTTTGCCAAGTATATTATTTAAAATATATTTAAACATCCATATAAAAGTCGTGATTTTTAATGATTGAATGTATCAATGACTGGTATAATTAATAGCAATAAATGGCAATATGGCATATAATTAATGACAATATGCACACATCTTTAGAATGGTCTCAAATGGCTTATTTCTAAAACTGCATGTAATAGGGTATGTCTACACTGTGGTAGTATTTTTGGATACTTGCAGTATCCCAAAATAGCTATTCTGCGTCTTTGAAATTTAACAGGCTCACTATTCCGACATCCCTGTAAACCTTGTTTCATGAGGATTAAGGGACATTTTGGAATAGTGTTTTATTTGGAAATTAACTTGAAATAAACTATGCAATTTGCGTAGCTGAAATTGTGTAGTTTATTTTGGGCTAAGAGTGCAGTATAATTGCACCCATAGTTTAAAATGTTTGACTGGCTTGTTTACATAAAATCATTTTATTTACAGTGATAATTTCAGTTGTGGCATCAAAGGTTTTTTTTTTAATATTTAATTTTATTCCAAGGGTCTTATTTTGCTATCAGTATCCTCTAAATTGCCCTCTGACTTCAATGGGAATATTTCCTGAAAACTCATGATCCTAAAATGGTTTAATTACTTAGCACAAAATTTTCAATCTTCTGTAAGTATTTGTTCTGGAGAATTGAAGTTGTTTTTTCCTATCTCAGAATGCCCCAAAATATCCAGTCTTTGCTGACTGAATCTTGAGAATGTGAACTGGAGAAAGTGTATTTTCCAATTAGAGGTCAGTCTGCATGACTTTGAGGTAAATGAGATTGGTAAAGTAACAACACTATACAAAACTTACCCTGCCATTAAAAGGTAGTTATAATACCAGGAAGCTGAGCCTCTGTGATAAGGTTGAATGGAAACCTGTGATACAAGTCAGCAGTTAAAATAAATTCACGGCTAAGCAAAAGGTATTTAATTATATGTGAAAAATGTGGAATAAAGCAGTATTTGTTTTTCTAACTTTACTTTTTCTCTTCTAGTACATAGCTGTTTTAAGATTATTATAACTGCTGTTGTCACTATTATTATTGAGCTCCATGTTTGTGTCATTTCAGGCTACACTTTTTCTCAGTCCTGCTCACCATGAAGTCAATAGACTATTACAGTGCAATATTTTCTGTTCTAAGAATTCAAAAATCCTAAATCGAATCCCAAAATACACTGGGGCTTGCTTGAAAATCGTTCAGTTATTGGTTTGCCTCCCTTGTTTTTAATCCTCTAATGGCAGGGGTGGGAGGAAGGGAAGTTGTGCCCTCTCCTTCCACTCTGTGACTCTGGTGCTGTTTAATAATCCACCCCCCAATACGCACACAGCATAGGCCACCGGCTGCTTTGTGGGGGGCTCCACTTGCCCTTTCCAGGGCTCATGAGAGTAATTGCCATTTTATTCATCACCATTTTGCTCCCTATCATTTTTCTGATACCCTTCCAATTCTCTGCAGTCTCCTGCTCAAAACCCCAGTACCAGACTCCTGTTTATTTTACATTTCTCCTGATCTCTCTGCCGGGCCTCACTAGCCTTGCACATTCTTCCTGAGTGCTCCCAGTCTTCATTCCCATTCATTTTCTCTTCCCCACATCCCACTGGCTCCTGTCTTTGCTCTTTTGGTGAATGACTGCTCCTCTAAGCCAAAGGCAGTGGCTCTAAACCCAGTTAGAACAGTTGGGTAGTAGCCTCTCTCATAAAAAATGAGGAAAGACACCTTGCTTTTCCTGAGATCACGCAGCATTGTGCTTAGGGTTGGTTTTGTTCGGAAAAGAAATACCTGCTATTGTGGGATTTGAGAGCATAGAAGTTGCTGTTGACTTCAGTGGATATGGGACTGGGCTCTGGTTTCTTTGTATGAGCACATTCAGATTCTATGTAAAATACCACTTAAATGTTCAGAGTATTGCTTTGTAGGAAGAGTTTAAGGGAAAAGGTGTTTAAGGGAAAAGAGGTTGCTAATAAGAGAGCTGTGAGATAAATGTGTGTTTTCTTTGTAGGCTTCTTAATCATTCAACCTCAGTAAGCACAAGAAACAGGCCAAAACAGACTGTGGAATCTGAAAAAAGGTATTAAGAAATGTACTGGGTTTTTTTAATAATACTGAAATCATGTCTTTGGTGATGAACATGTTATACAGGAGAGTAGGGATGTTAACATATAGTCCTTTAAACTATATGCCCTGAGCTTATCAGTTAACCCAAATGACTGCATGCACGTGCACTCACACACACCCTTGCTGCCTCTGGACCTAACCCTCTTCCCCCACTGCCTCCCACAGAGTACAGGCAGTCCCTGGGTTACGTACAAGATAGGGACTATAGGTTTGTTCTTAAGTTGAATTTGTATGTAAGTCGGAACTGGCTCCAGATTCAGCTGCTGCCACTGAAACTGACCAGGGGCTGACAACAGGAAGCTGGAGGCAGAGTTGCTCTGCCCCCAGCTTTCTGGAATCAGCCTGATCAGTTTCAACAGCTGCTGAATCTGGAGCCTGGGACAGAACAGCTGGGGCGCTGCCCGGTAGGTTTCCACAGGACCAACCAGGCAGCACCCCAGCTGCTCCACCCGAGGCGTCCCGCAACAAAAGCCTGGTCTGCTGGGGGGGGGCGCACTAGCTGCGCCCCCTCCCCCCCAGCAGAACAGGGAGACCCGAGCAAAGCCGCACAGGCGGAGGGACCCTGCCACCCGTGTGGCTTTGCTCCTTTGCCCCCGAGCAAAGCCACACAGGTGGCAGGATGATGCCTGTGCGGCTTTCCTCCTGTCTCCCTGGTGTGCTCGGGGGGGGGGGGGGGGGCC